CATGCCTTTTAACACACAAACCAAAACAACCATATTGTAGTACAATGAAAATCCATTAAATGTCACAACCAGTGGGTCCACCACAACATTTGGAATGCCCTAGCTATATATCATCATGCAGGGTAGTGATAGCGATAACACGCACACGCACAAGGAACATGCACCATGCAGCCAGCTAGGTACCCTCATTTGGTTCAGACTCTGATTTCAATTTTTAAATTCAACCTTGCTCACCGAAAGTTGTTATAACAAGTAGTTGGATGTTTGTATTTTTTACACAGATCATAATCTCATTTCTCACTTCAACATAATGTCGCAGCTACAAGTATTATTTTTAGATTTAACCTTCATCATCAAAAATTGTTAATACAAGTTTTATAGGACTATGACTAGTTTGATAACAACTTGAAATTGAAGGGTCTAATAGTTCTTGTTAGAATTGACTCATATATCATTTTAAGAAGGTAGGTTAAAAACTAAATATAATATTATAAAATAATTTGTAAATTAAAAATTATTTTCTAATTATATACATTTTGTTGACTTTTCACAAATTAATGTGGGTCTTCAACACCAACACACCTCTCTCAAGTTGAGAACTGAATATATTGAGCACGAAGTTTTGCACGATTAAATATTTACAGATAATCTAGCAAGCTTGACAACAAAAGACAATTGCTAGGATAAACTTTGATTAGGAGGTGGATATGGGTTGAGTTTATCTTTGATCGAACCCGACCTTGTTTTTTGACCAAACCATTTTTCAAAACCCAAAATTGACCCAACTAAAACTCGAAAATATATGAGACATGGTTGGGTCAACCAAAGTTTGATACACTATATTAATTTTAACATTATATTTAATTAGATTGTAAATTAAAATAAGTGTAAAACTTAAATTAAGTTATAATAAATAATTTTATTATAAATATAATATCATATTATAAAAAATATTATTGGCTAAATAAATTTTTATTATATACACAACAATTCAATAAAGCCTATAGTTTTTAAGAGAATGTTGTATAATAAATAAGGTTAAACAATTTGAAATGTAACTCAATATTTCCTTAAAAATGTATCATTTTCAATTTCAAAACTTAAGAAAGTAGTTTGGAATCTAATTCAATCTTACAAAATCGACTTATTAAGTAAAGATTGTTCCTCACTTATATATGTTGATTTTATTGTTAGTTGATGCAGAATCTCCAACTAAACGAATACAAAAAAGTTATACTTATTAATTATATATGAGGAAGGATCCACTTATCGAAGAGTAAGTTTATTTAAACTTATTTCACTCAATAACTAATATTTTAAATCAAATTTTAACGATCCAACCGTTAAATTAAATTTTTTTAATACATAGATCGAGTTAACAAATTTTAAAAAAATTTGAAAACTATTTAATATTTTATTTCTTTAATTCAAATTGACGGATAATTATAAAAATATTTTATACGTTTATTTAAATTAATAAAATAAAATATTAAACAATTTTAAATTTTTTTAAAAATAACTATGCATTAAATTTTTTTAATTTAATAATTAAATTATTAAAATTTGATATAAAACATAAGTTATTAAGTGTAGATTTATTGATAAAAAAAATGAATCCCTCTTTTATTAAAAAAAAAAAAGTTTTAAAGTTGATTGGAATATTGTAAGAAAAGTATAAGGGACGAAGAAATGGGGTATTTGATGGGTGAGAGTGTAGCAAGTTTAGAAATAGAATTGAAGATGTTGGAATTCAAGTGTGAAGTTAAGTTCCACATTAGTTAGAGTTGGGCACATTGAGTGGCCTTAGATCCTACTCTTGGATCTCTTGCCAATTCTATTTAGGATCTCACTCTTAGATCCAGCCAATACTCGTTTGAGTCAATCACCAGTCACTTGGTCGAACTATCAGTTCTAATACCAATATTGGGGAGTTTTTAACACCAGAGAGCACTCCACACAATAGGTAGTGATAAGTCACACAAGTGAGTTTGACATCATAACATATTCTAAAACCTTAAAGTATTAGGTAGGTAAATTTTTCTTACTTATATCTTATTCAACATGCCAAATTCTAATTAATGTGTGACTTTATTTCACACTTGAACTCCAACATAAGAGAAGAGAAGAGAGTGAAGGTTGTCACATGGTTTGTCTTGTGCTTGCGAATTGTGATGTGGTTTGAGGGTTTTGAGAAACGAAACCCCATAAGGAAGAGAAACCGTCCAAGCCCCACGGGTCTTGGATGTTGATTGATTTTCTCCTTCCAAAACTCACTCTGAAAGCAACGTTTGGGACTCCTTTTGATTAACACATTATTATATTTATATTATATTCCTGAAAATGTTTCATGATGCATGCCCACATCCACATGTGATGTGGGTTACCTGTTATGATTGTGACTCGTGTTAATGATACTCCATTCATTTAATATGCACGTCATTCCATTTCATAACCAATATCTTACCATTAATTATCTTTCAATACTTTATGGATCACATACATTAATCAATAATTTCCTTTTCCTTTTTTATTTTATTTATCGTAGCATCGTTTGATTGGTTTATAAAATTAATAATTTTGATTCTCTAGTTGAATATTTGTTTATTGATCATTAAAATTGTATCATTAATTATGATTTAATATTAAATAATTGATACAATAGTTAATATTTAATAATGTTTAAATTGAAATTCATTTTCATTTTTCAAAAGTGATAAAATAAGATGAATGTAAAAATTAAAATTACAAATTAACCTAAATATTATTAAATATTAGTAATCATATCACTTATAAATATTAAGTCATAAAAAATATTTAAATTTAATAATTAAAGGATGATTATATAACAAAAATTAAAGTTACAAATTTTATAAAGAATTAAAATTATAAAAATTAAGACTAAAATCATAAAGGAGAAATTTAATTTTTTTCTAAAATAAATTGTTTCCGTGTGTTTCTTTTCTTTCTCTTTTCCAAATTTTCCGAGATAACACGATTTTATTTCGATTATGATATTCAACCATATGAAAGATCAAAATCTTTGGGGCCCAGAAAACATTTTTTTTTTTTAAATTGTGGGGTTGGATTGGAGTCTTCACTCTAAACATATTAATTTCTTTTTTTTAATCTAACCCTGAAAACTTTCATTAAAAAAAATCCTTAAGAAAAGCCAACATTTATATTTATTTATTTTTCTCCCCCAACATGTGTAAGTCGGTTTAAAAGATGTATCTGAATGGTCAATATCACTAGTCTTTTTCCTTGTATAAAACTTGTGGTATAATGCAACCTTTCGGTCACAATCTGCTAGTACCATATGATGCATCATCGCCAACATTTTCACAATTTCAAAGTCTCATTAGATTAATCCACAATCCCACAAGACAAAGAAAATTGGGGAGAGAGAAAATCCGGCATCATTTTTAAATTATACGTCTCTTTCTATTATTATTATTATTTATTTTTGTTTTGTTTTGGAGAAATCATCATTCCCAATACGTATATAGCCACACCAATTCCTTGTATCTATCTTATGCTAAACAAAAACGTGAACATCACAAATTTTATATCCTTCAATTAGTGGTCAAATAATTTACATCAAATTGAGTCATGGCTAATGACTATGTACCAATAGTTGAAACGCATGATCAAGGTAATTAAAAATCAACTTGACCCAAACACAATATGGAAAATCCTTGGTTCGGAATTAGTAAAACGTTTCCTTAGGGATTAAGAGTCAAAGCATCAAAACAAGGACCACAAATCATGCAACAAAATTTCATAGTATTGTTATTACATCTTGCTAACGTCAGTGTAGGAGACACTTTTTTTTTTTTTTTTGTCCTCAACCACTGGACAGGGACTAATTCCACTTTATGTTATTGTAACGGTTATTAATCTAATAGATTTTTTTTATAAAAAAAAATATGTTTTTAATTTTTTAAACTTAAGATAAATTTATTTTTAGTTTTTTAAATTTAAAATTAATTTTTTTAGTCTTTATAAATTTCAAAAATCTTATTTTAATTTTTATACACAAATTTTACAAATACGAGTAGTATCTTTGTTACTGAAAATATTATATTAAACATAAAAACTGTTTCAATTTATTATTTTTAGATATTTTATTGGTTAAGGGTTTTGAAAATTACAATGATTAAAAAAATAATTTTAAATTTAAGAGATAAATTATCTTAAATTTAAGAAATTAAAAATATTTAATTTTTATTTTTGCCCGGAGAAGATTGAATAAGAAAATTTTAATTAAAAAAATTGTAAGTAGATAGGGTGTAGGGGACATTTTAAGCAGAATTAAATGAATTATTCCATGACTTGTATCAATTGCCAATGTAAGCATGAATTGTATTATATTGAAGAGGTGCTAGTAATTGGTATGTATGAATGTGAAAGTGGTGATTAGGATGAGATGACCTCAGGGTACAAAATTTGAAGTTGGAGGGGTGCGTGTTTTAGTTTACAAAGAATGAAGGAAAGAGGAGGGTGGTGGAGATTGAAAACGAAAGGTTTTGACCAGTTATGGCAAATGACAAAAAATAATTGTAATAATAAAAAATTGTAGACACGGAACTGCTTTTGATGCCTTGATCATTTACTATATGCATATATTGATGCATGTCACTTTCAACAACTTGTTTTTGGTTTAAGGGATGTTCCTAAAGTCAGTTCTTGCCCCCCTTGAGGAGCGGTGCCTGATGGCTATGGACCTCACTGGTGGGCCACATAAAGAGTTCATTTGCCACTTGTCTCTTTTTGTCAAAGCCCACCGGGCCAGATTGTCTTCTTCTACCCCCTTTTTATTTTATTTTATTTTTACTTTTTCTTACCATTTCCTAAGACTCATGATGCTCATATATCACATATCACACATTGCACAATCATGATAATGTGGTTTTGTCACTTTTTGGAATGTGTCCCCATTCTACAGTGTTTTCATTTAGCATCTTCTGTATTGGATGCTAATTGTGGGGCCCCAAAAGTGAGTAAAGGTTGGAGTGTGACAGAAATCATAACATAACCATAATAATCATAAAATAATGCCCACTTTGCTAGGGAACTTGATGGTGTTGATAAGATAAGATACACGAATGTGTGCCACTGCCACTTTGGCTCAATGATTACCATGAACACATAAGAAGCAGTGAAAAACTTTTCTTTGGGTGAACCCCTTTCAAGGGACTCTTAACATGTAAGGTCAGTGTCATAATCTGTTTTCTTTTATTGTCAAAAAGTTATTCATTCCCAGTATTGTTGTGGACTTGTTAATTTCCTCCTGAATCAGTTTTTGTGATGGTAAAGCAAAATAGAGTTTATTCGCTTTGACATACAGTACTATCAATCAGAGATAAAGGAGCACTCATCAACTGATATTCTGGGTTTGTGAAAGGTATGCTGTTATGGACTATGATGTTTCATTTGACAGGTTTTGCTTTGTTGCTCATTGGCTGTTTTAGTACAATTCGTTAAGAGGATCAATTTGAAAGTGATATTCATACACTGGTTTGGTGTTCAGAGTTTTTCTTACTTAAGAGTTATATACTAATTCCGAAGATCTAATTAAAAGTCTGATTCTCTTAACAAATATTTCTTTTCCATACAGATAATCGTATTTATGATGATATGTTTAAGAGATATGATTATCTACCAATTATATCTCGTCATAACTGATTGGGTGTATAAATCATGTTCTTTAAATAGGCAATGTCAGAGGTTTTTTAATACTCCAAAGTCTGCTAGATTGTGTTTTGTTATACCTCTTCATGTCTTCATATTGTTGCTGAGGTTAGGTTTTTGTTGCCATGAATATGTACTTACTGTTGTAATAGGTACGTTAACATGACTTCATATTTATTACTCATTTTATTTGGCAAATCAACCTATCTAAAGTTTAAATTTCTGTAGTCTATATATACTTCCTAATTCACATCTACGTAATTGATTTCGTGGAACGTAGCGCCGGCAATAATTATTACCTTTACCCTAAAGTCCAAGTTCAATTTGTAAATAAAGTCAGCATTCAGCAAAGTTTTATTCAATGTTCACATTACTTTGTCTTTTTTCTATGAAACATTTCAAAATCTCTCCAAACACTATTAGTCTAGTACATAGTTTGCTTGATATATTCTGATGCATTTGAAAGAATGCTACAAAACACAGACCATAGGGTCAATTCAGCAGCCATCAGCATCCTTAGCAGCCCTATTGCTTTGGCTATGTTGCATTTTTTTGTTTAGGCTTTGGTGACTTTGCTTTGATTATTTATGAACCAATAATTTAACTGTTCAAATTTCAAATTTCAGCCGTCTTTATTTCTTTGGCACACCAATGACCATAAATTACCTTTCCTCTAGCTGGTGCCTCCTATCCATAACCTCTCCATTTAATAGGCAAACATGCAGTTCAATATTTCACCTAATGGCTACGGCCTGTTTAATTGTTTAACTCTTATATAAAGTTATGACTTATGAGTAAATAGTCCATACACTATGCACTGATAATGGAAAAGGGTTTTTATATTTTCATCCAATAAAAAATTATCATATGAATATGTTGATTTTTACAATATTTATCTTAAAAATTATATCTATCATAATTTCTAATTGATTAATAGCATAAAACTTGTTACTACATAGAAAACAAACTCTAAAGTTATTCTCCAATTAGTTTGAACTTTGTGTATGGTATGTTTTCATCGTGTGCAACTACCACTGATTTAGTGGTTAGCTTCAGATGAGACCATTCCATGATGGTAAATGCTTTTTCAGGAATCAAGTAACAAGAAGGGCTAATATGAATGACAGGCATTAATATTTTCATCTGTTGTTAATTCTCAGATATCATTGTATAATTGAGAAACAACCAGTGATACACTTATACTTGGTGTAGTGTATTTATATTAAGGAAGAATTGCATTTGCTGCTACTATATACAGGGACAATGATCTACATGCATTTTTTTTGAAGGCACCTTCTCAGAATCACGCAAAAGGTCTGCAAGGATCTCTTTCATTGTTGAGCTGAAAGAAATGTAACTTCCAATGTTTAACAAGTATCACGAGGTGATTGGTCAGATTCAGTTATAGTACTGAATTACTGATCCTGATAAAAAAGGGTGTAATACAGATACAAAGTGATTAACAAAGGAAAATATCGTGCTCGATCAAAATTTCTGCTATCATGTTAATAATGGATACATAATTGTTGGAAAGTGTCATGTTGTATAGAGATGACCATGTTAAGTAACATGTAAGTCACAAAATTGCACGCACTTAGGGTGTGTTTGTTTACGCATTTGGATGCGGTTTACATGTGTTTCAAATGCATAATCAAACACACATTTTAATGCTGTAAAATCTTGGGTTGAATGTGGTGTGGACTATATTTTTGTGGTTCACTTCTTAATTGGAATTCTCCCTGCTTAAAACCTTAATGTCTTATGGTTTCTGTCGAGGCTCAAGGGCATTCATTTGGACTTCAGTGAGATGGGAAGACCATTGACAATGGAACTCATAAATATGAACTGTTGTTATGGTTATGGGTTAAGCACTCAACTATGATTGTTTTTAGGTTTCATGTGTGTGTGATTTTAAAAGTAAAATTAAGGATTCATGTATAGTCGAACCAGATATCATATTTGTTCTGATATGAAAAACTCACTAGAGAAGACCTAACGATTGACCAAAGCATTCAAAGTGACATCACTTATACATCACTTCTTTTTCTTTTGATCTCTCATCACATCACCAATCTTATTTTTTACTACTATTTTTATCCTCCCTATTTCTCTCTTGTAAAAGGAAGTTGTATAAAAGAATTTCTCATTTGCAATCACTGATGCTGGAATGGGTGATAACTGATAATAATGCAACTTCCTCTTGAAGTTGGTTGAACAAGCTAATGTAGAAAAGCTTTTAGTTAATCAAAGTCTATGCAAGAGCAGATTTTTCATTGGATAACGCATTATGAATTTCTGTCTGATTAAGCCTTAATCTGTGTTGATATATGAAGTAAATGATAGTTGATTTTCAGAAAAAAACAAGAGATACTCATGACTAGAGTCGTTGAAACTCCATCCAAATCCAACACAGTTATAAACCAAAAACCACATCAATTTGAATGTTTTACGGAGAAGCTTTAACTTCTTGTTTCTATAAAACGTGTAGAAAGGGTATGAATACATGTTGCAAACTACTTTTCAAGCACACACTACAATCACTAAAACATTTCATCCGGAATTAAGTGCATTTTTTTTATAGGCGGATTAAGTGCAAGTTTGGTTTCATATCAATTGAGACATGTCTCAATATGTGAATTATAGAAGCTACAAAGAATAGTTTCTCTGTTAGAAATGAATGAAGTCTGTTTTAGATTGAATTCCAAACACTAACTGCATGAATTGAATAACATTGATTCAGATGGTTCATTTGAGATAAATGATTGTTCTAGTGATTTCATAATCATAATTTCTAATCAAACAAAAACAGAACCTAACTAGTTGTGGTGGCAGGTAACCTTATTGCCACGTTTTTCAAATGTCAGTATTGCTAATCACATTACCGACCATAAAGACCAGAAGCAGTGGTTTTGGCAGGAAAAGTCACTTTCAGATAGTGTTAAATCCCAATTTTGATATGCAGAAAAAGACTTCTCAAGGGATGGATAAGTAGCCTTTACCATTTTGTTCCATATAATTCATAAATAAACTTGTTCCCATATTTTGATGGTTTAACTCACTCATTATATAGGATTCACAAGCCATCCACTTTGATAATTCTAATTACAGGTGTAAGTGTAACTATGAAAGCCACCATGTCACAGAAGAGTATATTCAGCTTCTAAATATATGTAAAAAACATTACTAAAATTCATTATTCACTCTGCAAAGCAATGACCCCCTGCAATAGAGTGGAACAAACCAAACAGTCCATGTTCTGTTCAAAATATAATAAATTTGTGCTGACAATGCGTGACATTATCAGTCTCATTCATTAGGTATTTTGAAGAGACGTGCTAGTCTTGAAAAGTCTTCATGCTTGTATTGTTTTTGGTAATGGAAAAGTCTTCATGGTTGTATCACATTAATTTATAAACATTATTAATATATTCTTACATTTTGTAAGAGATAATTCTGTTCAGGACAAGTAAACGATTATACTTGAGCGGGTAAATAATTAAGATACCAAAACTCTTCCTCTCCTTAGAGATTACTTATACCTTTCAAAAATAAATCATATATAAATATTGCTAAGGATTAAATTTAAAAGGCAAAAAAAATTGAAACAATGTCTTAATCATATTAAAATATCCAATGTAATTTATCTTTACATAAATCGTATCGTTAAACAAAAAAAAAAGGCGGCTACTACCTATTCTAAACAAGAAATAATAAATTTTACTATGCTACAACCAACCCTTTTTTCAAATAAATCCCAACCAACTTAAATACAAATTAAACAAAGGAAACAACAAACCTTCAACCCCCCCCCCCCCCCCTATCTTAACAGCTTCGTTTTCATTCTCTGCCAATAGCACCATATCTCAACGAATAGAGTGAATAGAAACAAATTTGGTGCAAATCCAAGTGTTTTATTTCTATTTATTTTTCCTTTGATGTTACACGCACTGGTTGATTGACATGATCAGTGGTAATAATGTGTTGAGCTACTTAGTGAAATATACCCTAAGTAATTCCTAATTATAATCTTGCTGTAGCTCGACGAAGAATTAGATTTCGCCATGTCCGGCTTTCATCATTTATCTATATAATTGACTTGTAAATTTGAGAACTGCTGACTTCGATAACCTTTTTACCCCTCAACTACCTATAGTTATACTCATAAATATCCAATTCCATATCAAGTTCCCAGCCATGGAATTATGTTAACAGGATCATGACTTTAATAAAAAGTTTTCCAGTTCATCAAAATAGGAGTCAAGATTTCCATGTAAACGGGGATAGACCTAAATATATTACAAGCATCTGAAGTCAATTTGCTTATGTATTATGGTAACACAGGCAAGAACACTTGGTTATGGACTCTTCCGAAGAGCTAAAGCCAAAAGATAGCACAGAGCCGAATCAACAGATGATAATGCAACAATAAGCAATGCAACCAGTACGAGAGTCAGAATCGCAGTCCTCAGCTGCAAAGGATTGATAAAAACATATGTCATCATTCAATACTTTTTTATAAATTAAAAAACTGAAATATAAACATAAGATGGAAGTAGTGGCGAATGACTACGGTGCAACCGTAAATAATGAACCAAATGACATACCGTACTACTAAAGCTTGGCCACTCTATGTACTTCAGCTGGCTAGGTTGCTCAACCAAAAATACAAATAACGATTTTAGCCCCCTGGATAAGAACAGACAGTTATTAGTAAATATGATTCTTTTTTTTTTTTATAAAAAAAATAAATAAGTAAATCTACAAGTGTTTAATTACACAAAAAAGTATCAGTTCGTACAAGCACCGTATTTCATTATACTAATACAATTTCATGCGAAGTTGATGATTTACAAATACCATAAGGCATCCTTGATCAAAGATAGCAAAAAGGGCTCCTCAGGCAAATCATCATCATAGTTTAGATGATCATTCCTTGCAGCAGAGATCACAAATTTGGTGCAACTATGGTTTACATGTTTTTGTCTTATCTTTGTTCTAGAAATCTGCAAACATGAAGCATGTGTAATCTCAAATGATATATTACCACTAGAAACACATGTAAAGACCCATAAATTGAAGGAGGGAATAGAGTGAAATTAGATGAGAGAAATAAGCATTTGTTACTGTCTGTGGTGTTAGAGAAACATCTCTGTGATAATCAACTCTTGCTGGAAACTTTGATGGCAGAAAAGGAGTACCTAGTTGAACGAAAGCTACAATATATCAAGAAACATAAAGTTAAACAGGGAGTAAAATAAGCATGCCTATGAAGAAACCAATGTAGTCCCAAAAAAACCTGAATAGGTCTGCGGCAACGAGGAAAGAATCACCATTTTGTGACTCTATTTGCCAAATTTACTAAACAATCATGACCGATTCAATGTGCTGAAACCTGCATAACCCAACTTGGTTATTGAAGGTTTATACATCACCAATTCATCTCAAAATCAAAACTTTTTTCCTCATGTTTCTCGCATTATAAGCAAGAACTTTAACAGTTGACAGAAAAGTAGTTATCGTGTACCAAAAATAAATGAATGAACAGTAGACATATATCAAGCAGGTCAGAAAAGAAAAGAAAAGAAAACAAAGAAGGCTTTGATGTCCCCATGTATATCCCCACACTAGATCTGTCCCCATATATAAACCATAAGAAACCAAAACAGTCACCGCAAACATCATCACCCAAGTCATGTCAATTAAACTGAAGGATACAATTAGGTAATGAAGTGATGAACCAAACAATTCTATATCATTTAACAGTTTCAAATAGTAAGCGGTAAAATTATTCGGAATATCCTTCTATTACTAATTCACTTTTTCTTGTCCAATAAAATGAAATCTTTCAGGATAAAAGGAATTAGTAGCATACTATTTTTATATTTTGTATTATTAGGTAAAATTTCATGTTGGCCGCACTAAATTACTTGGACTTACTTTTTAATTAGTAAACATATCATGATAATTTACCTGATAAATAAAATATTAAAGAGTGTCAAAGAATGTGTTATTAACATTTCTCTTGCTCACAATTTGTAGAATTGCACTACACACGGACCTGTCTTTTGTCAAGAGGTTTAGAAAGGAATGAAATGATGAAACTACACATATATTATAGCAATAACAATAAGCAGATATGAGACAAACTACCTAATTTTAATTAACATTCAGCTTAACACATCTGTATTTAATACCTAGTGGTTATTATCTTCCTTGAATAAAGAAAGTTACTTCTTAGGCGGCTTTTGTTTCAAGGATTAAAAGTTGATTCTCAGGAATGTGAACATGGGAATGTAATATTTTCATGTTTGTTACGTGTTTTAAAAAATTATCATGTGGTCATAGCAACTTGGTCCAGTTATACCATCTAATTAGCTGCTATCTTTAACATAAAGGCGGTGACAACCCCTAAATACAAGGTGTGGGAGAAAAAAGATCTGTAGCTTATTGTTCAATGCATCAGCAGTTGAACCCCAAAATTCACAGGTACCCATCAAATTCAGCAACATGAACAATTAACAAAGCTTCCTAAATGGGTTCTCCCCTGGATACCCAAAACAACAGCAACAAATGTGAATGCAGCTCAGAAAAAAACATGCACATGTTATTCGAATTCTGGTTTGGAACGAAGTGTCAAACACTTGAGAAGCATCAGCCAACATGGATACTCATAGTCACTACAAGTCTACAATTGTGACCTTTTATCAAGCAAGTTGTGAGCAGAAAGTTGAAGCGAAGATTATCCACAAATCAAGAACTACTGAAAGAATGAATGGTGGCGGAAGATACCTGACGTGGCGGTGAAACTTGTTGAACCGAGGCGACAACTACACTCTTGTTTGAGGGTTTCGTTCCGGTTACCGGTGAGGGGAAGAAAGTGTAATAACTAATAACTCGGAATTTCGAGTTATTTAAAAATTTTATTTGGTAAGTAGTGCTATCAAATAGCCCACCCGGACAATACATGTACGTGGGCTGCTTCGGCCCATTCAGTTTTCTTACATGTTACTTAAATTGTCACCCACTTTAAAATTTACTAATTTTATTTTATTTTATTTTATAAATAAAAACAAAATAGTTTCGATAAATTTTTGACACCTTAACCACTTTTTGACCACAAAATTTCCCAAAAACGGACTTTCAAGGATATAGCTCGTATAACATGGGTATATATAATATATTTTAAGTCTCCTAGAATATCTAATATCTAATTTTAGCCTTTAATTTTTAATTTTACGATTTTAATTCTTCAATTTTATGATATTCATAATTTTAATTCAATGTTAAGTATTTATCATTAATTTTAAAATTGTAATATTAATTATTACACATAATGTAGATGATATAATAATTAATTTATACTAATAATAAAAAAATAACACATTTGATATTCACATTTTTCTTACCCATTTTAGACTTAATAGTAGCATATATAATCAAATAACCATAGTGACTATAAAAATAAACAATACTTATTAATAAGAATTATTACATTAAAAAATATTTTTCTTCTTCTTTTAATGCAAGTACGAAGTTCTTTTTTTAATTAATATTCAATAATATTTAAATAAAATATTATTACACAATCTTTAATATATTCTTTTCAATATATTTTTTTTATTGTTAATTGAAATTTATTGAAAATAATAAAATTTTATTAGATATCTCACCCTTTTATTTTATGACCTTCCTTATTTTAAGAAAGTGTATTAGAAGGAGTCTATTAGAAAATATATTGCTAATTATAACACTTCTTTATCACTTTTATGAAAGAAAAATATTACTAAAATTACAATTTAACTTAAATATTATTATTTAATGCTAAAATATAGTTAGTGTTACGATTCATAATAGAATGGACATTTCTTGTTTGTTTTGCACCGGCTTTTACCTTTTTGTTTGCACCACCTTCTGCCTATTTAGTTAGTTGTATTTTGAAAAAAAATATATTTTGAGTTAAATATTCCCTCAACATTTTTAATGAATCCAACTTTCAGTCTTTATTGTCAACTTTTATTCCTTCATAAATATTATGTCATCTAAATTTTTGAAATTAAGTCTTTGTTTTTGTTAAGTAATGATATGTAGTAATATGTTATTACTAATTAGATTATTAATTGATGTCTACGTGATTATTTAGTAGATACTAAATCATTTAATACATGTAATTTTTTATTTAACAAAATTATATGTCTACATGACTATCTAGTACAAATAATTATTAGAGAGTAAATAGAAAAATTACATATATCATATATCATAGTTACAAGAGTATGAATAATTCAATCACTTATTAATATTAGGTGCGGAGCCAAAAAAAAATTGGCTTGAGGGAAGTCAAGATTTTGTTAAATCTTTAACAATTATATGTAAATATCCTAACATCACAAATAATTCATTATTATTTATAATTATTTTTAATCTCTCTTCCTATCACATTATATATATATATATATA